CACTATTTGGACTTAAAATCCACCACTCAGACTTACAATCTGTCTTTTTCCTTTTGTACACTTCTGTACCCCGTGCTGGTAGAGCCCCCGTCTTTTCTGTGCAGCATCCCTTGTGTATACATACAGCACTGTAATTGTGGCTGACTGTACTGCATGGCGTAGTGCCGTGCTTTCTGCTGTTATTCATCACAGTACTGCATGCAAGTTATGCAAATAAAAGCAAAGTCATCCCAATGGAGTTGCCTTTGGCCGTTTCTGTGTTCTGCGTCTTAGAATGTACGTACTTAGATACGATTCCTCATTTAGTGACCGGTTCATTTAGCAACCAAATCACATGAACACACTTCAGTTGTAAACGAGGAATGTCTGCTTGCATGTTGTTCTCTAAAATACCTATGATTTTCTTAACCTTTATACTGCTTAAACTGATAATTTTATGATCTGAGGCCTGAGGCTGAGGAAATATTGTCAAACCTAGGGGACAGCTCCTGTAGCCTAAAACCTTGTAAAAGAGTAAATGTTTCTAAGGCATGTGGAAGATCATATTAATCATAGTGACTATCAAAAGCTGACATCCCATAAGCCATTATGATAATATGGAATATATGTTACATACATCCATAACCTTAGTCTTGGCCAGCTGACTATAGCTGGGTGGCAGCTTTAGAGATTTAACCTACATTTTTTTTATACCTGAGTAATGAAACAAACTTAAACTGTGCCATCTAGCATAGGCGATTTTTAAATAATTAACTCAATGACTGCAATTAAAATACTATGATTCAGAAAGTTCCTGCTGATTGTACCATACCATAAAAATAAACTTAACAGGATAATCATAAGATCTTATCACTTAGAAACTTCTGGCAACGTATCAACTAAAGGTTAGTAATGCAAACACAAATGTTGTGGATGTTTGTTACCAATGCACAGAAGAATCCACACATTGATTCCATCAGCTTGTCCCTTTAGAGGGTTGGAAACTTCTAGAATATATAAGATAGCTAAACACAAGTAATCCTGCAACAAAATTATTCTATATATCTTTGCTACAAGGCCGGTCATCAGAAAGATACTTCGGTTATTAAAGATAATTAATTATATGAAATAAAGACAAGTTATTCTCAAATAGATGAGTATCTTTGTTTTTTTATGTATTTGGTTGTTACAGGATCTCACCATGCAGCTTGGACTCCTGGTGATTCTCCTTTTAGCCTCCCCAGCACTGGGATTACAGGCATGCGCCACTACACCCAGACTCTGGCTGACTCAGCCCACCCTGGGGGCAGGACTGGCACAGCATGTGGTGCCAGGGATCCAACCACGCTCCCTGCGCTTGCCTATGCTTGCCTAAGCAGGCACTTTAGTCCACTGAGCTATCTCGCCTGCCCTGGATAAATGCCTTTGAACTCCCAACGGAGGCCCCACCCCTTCATGTGAGCCTCCACTTGTGGGCGATCCTCCCACAGGGTAACACAGCTGCAGGAAGACAGCATCCAATTATTCATGTAGCCCACTGTGGAAATACAACATTCATTCCACAGAATCATAAACCTTTAACAACACTCCTTCTTCCAGAAGAATCTTAGCCAGATTAGACGTCATCAGGTCTAAACTGGCTGCAAGACATTCTATTTCCCTGTAATAGATACCGTGTTAGCTTTGTGTAGTAAAAACAACGTGATTATAGGAGTAGAACCCTCAGGCACCGCACAACAGGTGTGAATGTGAGTGACTTGCCTGCACCTTCACAGGCTTTATTGTGCTTTGAAACTAGAAAGATAACTGCCATGTCCCAGATGCAACCGCAGGAATCACAGTTGGGTAAAGCCAGAAGTGGTTTCAGAGGCCAGAGTCAAGAGGTTAAAAAGAAAAGGGAAGTAAGGTTCCAGAAGTTAATAATGGGCCCCGAGTCACGGAGTGGATAGTTGGAAAGTTGAACTGGAAGCTATTCGTGACAATTAAATAGATGATTGCATTTGTATGACAATTGCATGCATGAAACAACAAATGCTTTAGGCAAAAAATGCTTCCAAGTGATGGCAAGCATGCATTACACATAGTCACTGGCAAGTGACAAATTGCCTAATCAAATACATACATTTACAAGTGAAAACCTTTATTTTTTTTCTCTTATTTATTTTTTTAATTTTATTGAGAAATAAATATGAATGAGACAGCTTCAAAGCTGATTAATAGGACAGTTTCGATAATCAGTACATTGTACATTGTTATCTTCTTAGTGATTATTCATCATAGTACAAGAAGCAGACAGGATATCCTGTCCAAACACTATTAGTACACCTCTTTCTTCTCATTGAATTAAGTGAAAGTAGCTGTATATCTATCTTAACTATTTTGTATATATAAATACAAAATGATCTTTCCTTTGTATCCCCTTTTTTTGTTTTGTTTTGTTTAGTCCTGTCAGAGGTGAATATTCTATTGGCATCTAAATATTATAGGTGCTTGAATTCAGCAAAACAATGCAAATCTGTCTAGCAGTCGATAATATTAGTGGGTTATCCTCAGAAGTTATTGACTTGAGCCTTTTACAGTTCATCGTATTAATATGGATTTACTTTATATATCTCGTTTTTATACTTTTCTGCTGGATGGTTAAGACCAAGATAAAGCAAGACCTATATAGCAAGAAATGTAACTTTTGTATCTGATAAGGTCACTCAAGTACCCTCAGGATTTATCTTGCAGCCCTGTACTGCACTTTGTAGATCCTTTGTCAGTGTCAGCCATGGGGATGAGTCACGGCCATTGCTTGACCAATTTGCTCTCTGTGAAAACCTGAGAGAATGTTTTTTCTCTCCATGTGACTCTCCCCAAGCACACTTTACATCATCGATCACATTCCTCTGTGGCTCCATAATCTTCTTGATCAGAAAATTTGGAGCACAACTGAGTTACATGTTGTTAAAGTACAGGTTCTCCTATGTCCCAAGTCTTCACTGACCTTGAAAGGCTAGGGCCAAAATGTTGGCTGACCTTGAAGCCCTTCCTTTTCTCCAATTTTGAACTGCTAACTTAGATTATTAACCCTCCAGAAGAGAAGCTTATTATTAACCTGCAATACATGCAGTTCGGTTTACCCTATCTGTCTAAACATCAAACATTTTTAGCATATCATGGAACAGGTATTTTCTATCAAATATTGGTATGTTGAACTTTAAGTCCTTACAGAATATGAAGGAACAATAATTTTATAAAAGTAGAAATAACCATTTACATATTTTTACAAAGAAATTTAGAAATTTAATCATATACAGAATTGTAACAGGACATGAAAACCTTTATATACTTTCAATTACAGAAACTGGAATAGGAACTGAGTGAGGTTCCCATTTTCCTTTTTTTTTTTTTTTTTTTTTTTTGGCAGAACCGAACCAGGGATTGAACTCAGGTCCTTGTGCTTGCCAGAGAAGCACTTATCCACTGAGCCATCTCCCCGGCCCCTCCCGCTTTCTTTAGGGAAAAAAAATACACATTTCATGCTTTAAAACTCTTTATAAATCATAAAGGGCTTTAAAATATAATTGGTAGAAGCAAAAGTTGGATAAGCAATTATTGCCCATTGGCTTGGAGGAACTGCTGTAACTGCTTTTGTATTTTTTTAGTTTTTATTTTTATTCATCCATGTGACAGCACACAATGACCACACTCCTCGTGGGCAGCTGGGGCATGGAGGTGGCACAGCTTACTTCCTTTTACATCCGCTTCCCCTCGCCTTCCTCCCCACTTTCTCCATCTCTGAGGCCCCTGGGAACTGTGTGACAGAGTGTTTCTTGTGGGCATCTTGATTTATGTTTGGTGCAGGGTAGTGGAAGATGGAATAGTGGCCGTTTTGTGCCTAAATCTAAAGATGGGACTCAAATCCAGTTAGGAGATTTGGTTAGCCTTTGCAGTCGGAAAGGGTTTATCTCATGAACTATCCCGTGAGACGCAGGGCAAAGGCACTGCCTTCTGGGTGCAGGCGGCTGAGTACAGTACGGAGCACTGTACTGGGAGCATTAATGTAACTGGGACCTGAGCCGCTCACAAGCCGGCGTGACCCAAAACAGTGAGATTTTACATTAGTAGAAATAAAACTACAGATGTGCCCTAACTTACAGAAAATCATGACATTTATGCCTTGAGGTTATTTTCCGGACTGTATACTTACTATAGTGCTATATTTAATACTAATTTATATTACTGTATTTACTGTCTGTGCCACTGCCAAATCAATAGGACTTTCCCCACGGTGGCTCTATTTCCAGAGTCCTCCGTGTCCCTCCCTGGGCACATGGATAAACTTTGCTCGCTTCTGCTCGCTGCTAATGCAAGGCCTTGCCCTAAGTCTTCTTTATCAAGATGCTAGTGATAAATAACCTTATCTGACATTAGAGGAACTTTGTTTCCGGGAAAGAACATGCTCAGATATAATACACTGTTTGCTACACCATTAAGATAATAATTGATATTTGTACTTGTGGCTTTTTTTCTAAAACCCTAAAGTCATAGCAAAATGCAAAATAGTGCAGTGTATGTAAGTTTTGTGTATGTGTTGAAATTTCTCCCCAAAATCTTTAACAGGCTATGTAGACTCATCTCATCCCCGGTTTAAATTCTACTACCCCTGACTGCTGAGGGAATCAGTTTTTCCCCACAGCCACGTTTTCTAACACACAATTAAGGACAAAAATAATTACAGGAAGCTCTGTTCAGAAAGAAGGGGAAATATATTGAAAATTACTCAGTTTTTGTCCTATGGTAGGAAGAACTAAATCACTACTCCAGTCTAAACTACCAAAGACCATAAAAACTTTGAATTCCTACTTTGTCCTGAAAAGCGTGCCACTTAGTGGTACATACAATTGCTACTCAGGTAAGCCACAGTGGCTTCCAAGCGTGTGGGAACGTCACCATCTTCAATGAGTGGTGCACCTAGTTTAATGAAAAAGCAGTTTACGTTGGTGTCCACGCGCATGCGTGCAGATGAGACTTACGCGGCCAAGGTCTACGATGAAGCAGTCGCCTTTGTTGAAGCTGTCCCAGCTGAGGGGAACTTCTGTGGCCCTGACCACTCTGCGGCCCTTCACGTGCAGAAGCCTCTGAGCCGACAGGTCGTTGGTGAGCACGTGGTTCAGTCCCGACGCCACGCCGCCAGCCTGGCCGTGGGAGGAAGGCAGAACAGAGAGAACGCGCATGAGACCCGCAAGGATCGCGAGACGGCCGTCTGCGCCACATCTGCGCCTGGGAGGCCAGCACAGAGCAGCCACCTGCGTGCGCAGGAGAAGTGAAAGAGGGAGAGAGAATCCTTGGTAAATCCACACGGTTGCATCTCTGTTCTTTATTTGGTCTCTTCCTTTTGGTATTTCAATCTCAAACTGTGAGGACCCTCAGGTAGAAAACCTGATGCATCAACAACGAAGAAGAAAAGAGACAATTCTGGCCTTTTGGCAACTAGTGATTCACAAAGCTTTAATAACAGGATCTCAGGGAAGAAGAGGACAGGAGGCTGGGAGATCAGAGGCAACAAGCATAGGTGACAGCAGCAGCGGACGGGACATCCAGCCTGCCACACTTAGGACAGAGAAGGCGCATGGAGAGCTGGCAAAGAAGGGCTGCTCTTGCCTAGGTGCTTTGAGTTTATGTTATTTTCTGATAGACAGAGCTTCACAGGTACACTAGGACTGAACAGGTTTAGCTGAAGTGAGGATAGTGGTGTGTTTTGACTGCACGACTCCAGCCCAAACAATACAAGCAAATGAGCCTGTACTGGTTTGGGGAGCTGCTAAAGGAAAAAGTTTTCACTGTATCAACTCTACCTACTTGCATTATCTGCAATCATATTTTACCTTTTCATTTGTTTCCTACTAAATATTAGGAATTCTATCTTTATTTGCATAATTAATTATGGGGTACTTTGCATAATTAAGAGGCAGTCTAAATAAAACTCTGTCATTGATAGATCAAAGACTCCTACAATAATGGTAAGAAAAGTTAACTATATTAAGTAATCTGTAATAGTTTGTCTTTCCAGTTTATTGTACAAATATGTATAGTGAATCCAAAATAATGGGTTGTGCTATATATTTAATCATTAGCAAATTCTTTAATTTTATCCTGACTTTAAATTTTATGTCATCAAGGAAAAGTCCTCCAAAAAAAGGAAAAGGAAAAGGGCTCCATAAATAGAATAGGTCAAATGTTGATTCAGGACAATTATAACCTGAATTTTCAAGAAATACAGACACTCCTTGTCTAACAACCTAGTTAGGGCCCTGCGACTGGGTCATTAAATGAACCGGTTGCTAAGCAAGGAGCTGTATAAAGCATGTGCATTGAAAGATTCGGAGCAGAGAGATGGCCGAAGGAGACTCCAGCTTGATGGCATTGCTTGTATTTGTATAAATCTCAGAGGAGATACTGTGATGTATAATAGGACATAAAAATACAGCGCTCCTTAGCAGCAACGGTGTTTCAAGGTCTGAAGCAAACAAGCTACCTCACTCCTGAGATGAGCCTGTCTGATTAAGGCTAGCTATCAGTCGCTAGGCAACCTAGTGTCATGTGTTACTAACTTCACAAAAGTGTAAATAATTGTTGTGTGGGAAAAAAGAGAGAAAAATATATATATGTGTATGCACAAGAGAGTTAGGATAGATACACAGCTTCTTTCTCCTAGTTCATTGAGAAGCTTTATACTAATATTGCTTTAGACGAGAGATCATGTCTGCATCTTGTCCTCTGAATAACTACTATAAAGACAACAATATACAATGTATTAATTATTGTAACAGTCCTACTAACCTGTTTTGAAACTGTTTCATTGCTATTTTATCTTTTTTCTCATTAAAATTAATTTTAAAAATACAGTGCTGTATTGTACAGTACAATCAGCAAAAATTACAGTACTGTAAAAACAAAGTGTGCTGTACCAAAAAAGACGTTGAAGCTCTATCAGGAAGACATACGGAACTGCACCAAAAAAAGGTGGCTCGCAAGTCCGAGCAGCAGATCGTACAGCACGCCTTGGTGTAAATCCGGACAGTGTTTAAGCAGGTAGGTTAAGTGATAGATAATGGTATATTATTTCTCAGCACACAATTTTGCAAAGATCACCACATTTCTTATTGAAATAAACTAAGAATCACGCAATAAAATGGATATAAATTTTATCCATCCATTACTGCTTGGGGCCATTTTATTTTTTAAAGTAACAGAAATATATATTGTGATCTGATCTTGAAAATAGTAAATAGTGTGATTTAAGAAAGTTATAAACTACAGAGCAGGCTTATTATTCCAGCTAGTTTCATAAAACATAAAACCATCAGAGTTGGGAGACAGTTCAGCGGGCTAAGCACATGCCTGGCAAGCACAAGGACCTGTGTTTGATCCCCAGTACTGCAAGCTATGCTGGCTCGGTGCAGGGTCGGCCACCAAAGCCAGGGGTGGTGGCACACACCAGTAATCCCAGTGCTGGAGAGGCTGAGACAGGAGGATCATTATGAGTCTGAGCTGCATAGTGAGACCCTGCACCAAATAAATAAAAGATTTTTTGAAAAAACTGTATGTTGAATAAATGTCTATATCAGCTGGCAAATATTTCTGCCATGAATATTCTGTGAGTTAACAGCAGAAATGTCCAGCCTTACTGCATATTCACAGAGCAAAATCAAAGCAAAGTGGATGACCCTGGAAATCAGGGGCACTGTACACAGAGGTTTGCCAGCAGACAAATGCCTCGTGGTCACTACTTACAGCGCTAGCTGAAGGCAAGGTCTTGCTGAGCTTGAGAAGAGTGTATGAGAAAGAAATTGAGTGTAAGGCAGCACCCTCTATAACAGTTCCCCAGGCTCCCAAAGACCTCAGAGAGAAAAGACAGTCATCAGTGAGAATGAGACAGGAAGATGACCTTAGTATTTCCTGGCTGAGCCCTTTCTGATTCCTCAGCCACCATGGAGCCCATGAAAAAGCTTGCACAAAGGGGGGGCAAAAAAAAAAAGCAGCAGGTCTTGAAGCTCACCCTTGATTGCACACATCCTGTAGAAGATGGAATCGTGGATGCTGCCAGTTTCGAGCAGTTTCCCCAGGAAAGAATGAAGCTGAATGGCAAAGCCAGGAATCTTGATGGAGGGGTGGTCACCAGCGAAAGGAGCAAGAACAAGATCACTAAGACTTCCGAGGTACCCTTTTCCAAAAGGTATTTGAAAATATCACCACAAAATATTTGAAGAAGAAGAATCTACATGGCTGGTTGCGTGTAGTTGTAGCAGCAGAGAGAGTTACGAATGACATTACTTCCAGATTAACCAGGATGTAGAGGAGGAGGAAGATGAGGATTAAAGCTTCTTTGTCTGGAATATTTTTTATGAGTTCTTGAATAAAACTTGGGAACCAAAAAAAAAAGTATTTCCTGGCTGAATCTTAGCATCTAGCAACTTCAGATGATTTTTCACAGACCTGCAGACTTCGTCAGACTTTGTCCATTCCACATAAACTGAGACAAGACGGTAAAGTGAAAACAAAAATTTTGTCCTGACATATGAGTCATTATGTTAAGAGCATCACAGAATAACACTTATCACTTCAGGCCTGGAGGCAGATGGTTACTCCATCAACTACTATGCCTCTCAAAGCCTTATTTATCTGGGGATCAAACTCAGGACTTTTGTGCTTGCCAGACAGGTGCTTAAGCCAGCTGAGCTATCTCCCCAACCCAGCCTTATTTATCTTAAAAGAGTACTGATCTAAACTGCAACATCTCCAGGGGCCCAGGGAGACAGCTCAGTAAAATAAGCACTTGCCTGGCAAGCTCAAGGGCCTGAGTTCAATCCCCGGTTCCACCAAAAAATAAATAAATAAAATAAACTGCAGCATCTGAACGTTTATATTCAGTGAGGTGATGCACACGAAGTCATTCACCTCTTCCCAGAAGCCTGAAGTGCATACACGCTCTGGGATGGAATTCAGTATAGTATTTCCATCTTTGCTATTATGGCGAGTGAATTATCTCTGCCACCACATTTCCTCTCAAGTACTGTCGCACCGTGAACATTCACAACTGCACAGCGTCACTAGTGATAAGATAACCAAGTGATTGTCTCACTATAAATTTAATCTTTGTTTGCAAATATCCTCTTTCTGAAACAATGTTGATTTGCAGTGATCATATGTCCGTAATTAGGATATAATTCTCCAATAACTGTTACTCTTTATCATGTCTGTTTTTTAATATGCATCCTGAAATTTGATTTCAAAGGTTCTGTTAATACTCACAGGATTAATAAATCCTTGCTGATTAGGTACTGTATCCATCTCTTATTATTTAATTTGATCTTTAATCCTTATCACAGCTGTCATACCCTTTATACATTCAAGGAAATCAAGACAGGAAGTAAGTTCCTGCCCTAAGACAAAGAGGTCAGTTATAGAAAAAAGGTTCCTACGTAGGACTATGCCACAGCAACTGCCCTCAAGGAATAAATAAGCCTTGGCTTATTTAAAATCCTAGGTTCATTCCCACAAAGGAGGTTTATGGATCATTTGATGTAAACCAAAGGAACTCATGTGAATGAAATAAGAGCAGAGCGCATAGTCTCATGTTTATATCCTAGTGTGAAGTAAAGATTTCAAGAGAAAAGAGAACTCACAGTTATTTTGTCCTGATCTCAAAGGAACTGCAAAATAGTCAACCATGGATCTGACAGGTAACGTAGGAACAAGCCAGGCCTCTTAGTAGGCACGTGAGTACATATTAGGAATCTAGTTCAGCTGTGAGGTTTAGGCATTCAGCGAGGTAAGCAGTGGGGGTGTGCGGAGCACCTGCTGGAGCAGGTTTGCTTCTGAGGAGTCTAGGGTGCAGACGGGCTGCTGGGGAGGGTTTTACTCACACTCTGACCAATGCCTGCAGCCAGGAAGGGAGGAGATGGGGAAAGCTCACAGGGAGAATTCCAGAAAAACCAACTCTACTTAAAGGGATAAAACTATCTAGTCATTAGTGTGTGTGGGTGTGTGGGTGTGTGTGTATTTCAGTGGTTTCCTTTGTGTCCATTCCACTCGCTTGGGTAAGTGCATACAGTCCTTCATAGGAACTAAAATGATAACAGCCATAAATGCTGTGTGGAGGTACGCCAGAGCGGCTGAAATTCTGAAGCTTGGCTTATTGGTAGTAAATTCCGAGATTCACTACAATAGCAAAGATGAAAACTAGGAATTCAGTAACCCATTCATCATTATTGACTTAAAAATTTAATCATAATTTAGAGAGCAAAATAAAAGGAAACGGAGAGATAGCTAGAGCTTTTCCAAATGGCAGGAAACTAAGACATGGAGGGAGGGAGAAGTGACCGAAGGACAGGAAAAGGAAAAAGACTTAAGCTGCACTAGGTCCCCACACCAACTCTCCAAGGTGAATACAGCTGTCACATCCTGCAAATGTGGACAAAAAGATTAAATGTTTTTAAAATGCCAATCACCGAAATAACCTTACAATACATTAAAGGGTTTTCTGGTGAAGACAAAACCTACTGACCTACCAAAAAAAAGCAAGTCAGCATACTTCACGTGCGACAACTCCAACTCCAGGTGCTTACTGAGAACCTGTTGTGGATCCAGCGGACAGCGGGGATGTCACAGTGAACAAAGCAGACCCCAAAGTACCCTCACTGAACTTTCACCTTCTGAAGACACAAGGGGATTTCCTGGGGGAGAAACCGTCACCAGGAAAGTGTCTGAGAAAGGTGCTTACCTTGTACTTCAGACCTCCTTTGAAGTAGCCCACAAAATCGGTGGACTCGAAGCCCTGGAGCTCTCTGCTCTGCACCGGCTTGCCTCCCAGGTAGTCGTCCATCTGGACAGTGAAGATGGCGGCGGCTGTGCTCTCATCTTGGGAGCACTCTTTTCCTGCCAGGGCAAATGACAGTGCCTCGGTTACCATGCAAGCAACAGTGGTAAGGCATAAGTCTTTTTTTTTTTTTTTTTTTTTTTTGGCAGAACCAGGGATTGAACTCAGGCTCTCGCGCTTGCCAGGAAAAGGCTTATTCTACCGAGCCATCTCCCCAGCCCCCACAATTCTTTATGTGAAGGAAATAGAAACAGTCTCTTCTACCATGTAACAACCACCACAACAAGTGGTCCTCTGCAAAATCTCTTCTAAAAGAAGCAGCGTACAGTATAAAATATTATTAGGCAAATAACTAAAAAACTCAGTTTTGTTCCTGCACTTTCTAATACCTTAAAAAAAAAATTTAAAGAAATTCTATGGTCTGATTATGCTTGAGAAGATACAGTAAGATATTCTGGTGAGATTCAGAAAATTATTCATTTTGTGCAAACGATAAAACCTGAATAGGAAAATATTTTGGAATTGTCTTAGTCATTATTAGCATTAAACTTTAGGCTTCTTCTAATATTTCACTGCACTGATATCAGTCATAATTTTAAAAAATCAGGAAATCAATTGGTTTTTATTTTTATTTTATTCTTTTAAATGCATTCAGTACAGGATCTACAGGGTCTACAGGGTCTCACTACATAGATTGGACTCATAGTGATCCTACTGTTTTCAGCCTTCCAAGCACTAGGATTACAGGCACGTGCCACCACCCCAGTCTCAATCACTGTCTCAGTGCTGGGGATCGAACCCCAGCCGCTGCGCTCTGCCTAAGCAGGCGTGCTAGTCCGTTGAGCTATCTGACCAGCCCTTCAAGTAGTTTCTAAAACAGGAAATGAAAAACTTTTAAATGTATATTCATTTTTTAATCTGTTCCCATTTCACTGTCTTACTTTTCCTTGTTTAAAAAGAAAAGGAGGAGTGAAGATGTAGCATGCTCACATGCATTGAGTGTTAGTATACCTGACAGGGCCCGGGGAATATAACACATTAATACTCACTTGATTTTCACAATTCTGAAACAGATCCCACCCAGCCAACTTCACTGGGTGGAATAAGCTACTATAAGAACCAGTATCTGCAGTGTACAGATGAGGGGCAAGACAGTCCCAAGGATTGGACTTTATCAAATTTGATCTCAAAATCTCCAAACACCAGGCATGGCACTGCACACCTATAATCCTAGCAGTCAGGAGGATCTCTGTGAGTTCAAGGCCAGCCTGGACTACACAGCAAAGCCTCATCTCAAAACAAAACAAGCAAATAAAAAAGGATTTTTTAAAAAATGCTTCAATGTCTTTGCTACTTCTGAGTTGTACAAAAGTCCGAAAGCATTCTAGGAAAGAAATAGCTCATTGTGCTGTTAGTGCCTGACCATGGGCCAAACACTGCACTAGTGTTTCACACTAGTGGTTTTTAAGCATCCACGTGCAAAGGAACCTATCCATGTTATAGGGCTTAGAAGGAGGCTTAGAAGGGCAAAGATATCTTTCTGAGCCTATGAGATGACCTTTAGCAGAAAAGGATCCAGAGGCAGTTTTCTGTGAATGTGAAAATCAAGCTCTTGAAGTACATTAGGTTACTTTTTATACTACACCTCTCATTAGTAGTAAAGTGATATGGTGACCAGGATATGTCAGTTCCCCCAGGATAACATGCATAAAAGTTGAGAAGCTGCAACAATAACATAGCTCACCTAACAACCCCAAGACAGTATTCCCCCAAGCTGAAGAAATCAGTGAGCTATATTAAAGAAAGGCTTCTATCTCTTCACAATTCACCCCTCATGCTCAGAGACAACTTCTGCAACAAGGACATCCTCAAGCAAAACTTCGGTAGCTAGAAGAGTACTAAACTTTAGAACAGTTTTGTCCCTTTCTGTGATCAAAGATAAGTAACACCCAAAACATATGCACAGTTTTGTACAGACACTTTAAGAGAGGATTTTAAATCAAAGCTATGAACAAGGATGATGTATTTGCCATAAATATCTTCACGTGACTGCAGTTGAAATCCAAATCTTTCTGGGTACATGAGAATAGATGAGCACAAAGTCAAAGAATGAACTTTGAGGGTGTGTGGCACCATGCCTGACCAAATGTTTAATTTTGTAAGGAACCGCCAGACTGTCTTCCAGAATGCTCTACCATTTCACACCCACCACCGCCCCACCACGGAACAGTGCTTGCCATCCAGTCTCTCAGCATCCTCAGTAGCCTGTGAGTGAGTTCCTTGTGTTGTTTAATACAACCAATTCCCAGTGCCTTGCACTAGCCCTAACCCAGACTAGTTCTAACATACATGTATGCTGCTTTAAAGCATATTTATATAAAGTTTAAAATTGGCAAAGAGAAGGGTGAGGGAGATACTTGTAGCACAGATTGAGGGTCTGTCAAGGTCCCACTTTCTAACTATTCCTGCTCAAAGTTGGAGGAACCAGAAACAGAAGGTGGATGCACTTAAACTCTTTGGTACAAAGCCAAACTCTGCTTTTTTAAGGATTGATGCAAAAACTTTTTAATTATATGCAGTAAATTCTTACTTTGCATACACTGAAACGTATAACGTTAATGTAATACGGTATACAGAATACTCTGAGGTACACGCTGAGGTTACAGACATCCTGAGAGCCCCACAAGGACTGACGACTCCCCCTCTATTCCTTCTCATTTTAGGGCCTGTTTTCTGTTCTTTTTTCCCCCCTACTTTGCCTGTTTCCACGTTTTCTGTGCTGTGCACTTTTCTTTCCCAGTTTGACTCTAGCTACACTGCTCTTCCTTGGATTGATTTCCTGATTTCTTTTCATCACATATGTCTTTCCCTGAGTTTTCACTTCTCTACCCTGGAATGTTCTCTCAAGCCATCTCGCTGAATAATCCTCGTGAATTTATCATAAGTCTTGGAGGAGACTCCTTTAGATGCAATTCGGTTTGCTGAGGGAACACACGTAGGAACTGCTAAACAAGTCCCTCTTCCCATCCTGCGGGCTGTGTAAGTTTTTCCACCTCCTGGGGATTTCCTCTGGCCTCCGCAGGAGCCTTTCCCCATTTCCATCCGGGCTTCTCTCTTTCTCTAGAACCGCGTCTCTTTCCCGCTGCTCTTCATCGTCTCCGGTGTTCCATCGCCCGGTCTCTCTGCACAGCTCAGATGGTAAAGTCTCCCAAAGTACCTAACACAGTACTGTCATGTTTTTGAAACTGGAGAATACTAAATGAATACCGAAGAGTCTAAGCGAATCTGCAAGCCCCCCCCCCCCATCATGGTAAGTACGTGTAGAAGAAAAATACTTCTAGAATTAAAGACCTATTTTCAAGGCTTACTTGCAGTCTCCTAACAAAGTCTAATTTACGTCTTTCACATGTTAATTCCGCCAAATGACAAATGAGGCGTTTCGAAGACTTCTCCACATCCAGCCCAAGTCCGGATGGAAAGACCCCCGCAGTCATTATGAACACAGATCATTTTGCTGTTCTCTCTGGATCGCTATGCTTTAAAGCATAATAGCCCACCGGCACTGCAACAGGAAACCAAACTGAGTTTCACACTCAGCCTCATCCAGCACCCGCGACAAGCATGAAATTGCACACGAAACCCTGCAGTTCAAACTGCTATCTTACTCTCTTGCCTTCTCCTTGGCGCCTGCTCTGGATGTATGCTAACACTTAGTTACTTCTTGAGCTGGGGATTTAGCTCAGCCGCACAGCATCTGCTTGGCAAGCCCAAGGTCCTAAGTTGGATTCCCAGTGCCAAAAAAAAAAAAAAAAAGTTGCTTCTCAATGTTTTCTATTTGTTTAATAGCTTTCTTCAGATGTTAGAAATAAAAATGCCAGCTTGCAGAGACTCACAGCCGTTGGCCGCTGTGGCTGTGTGTTCTCTGAACCCAAGAAGAAAACTAAAGGAACCCACGTAGAGAAGAGGCCAAAAGGCTCCGCTAATCGGCAGGCTGCTAGCCGGGGTGTGCCCACTGGCACAGACCGCACAGGGAGAGGGTGCGCGCAGGGTGTTTACCAGGGAAAGTAGAGGGTGGAACAGAAGAACACACTGGGCCCAGTGTCCCATTTTGTTTACTATCGTTCAGGGAAAGCAGTGGATTCCACTCACACTGTGTCCTTGTTAAAACAAACTGATAAACAGGAGCCTGTCTAAGTAAATAAGTTATCGGCATAGGTATTTATATAGCTAGTTTCTCCCTCCCTCCCCCCAACCTGAGAGAACCTTGATTCAAAACAACCCTGAAAACTAATCCCCGATATTTAGAGGAGAAACACAAACTAGAAGCCAAAAGGGACGACTAATCAGTTAATTTGTTTGAGCGCACGGCTTCGGGCCAGCTGGGCAGATGCGCCCGGACTCGCTCGCCTTCCTCCTTGCCCGCAGGTGAGCACACCGGGCGGGCGGCAGCAGGAGTCCGGAGGCGGCGGGGCGGGAGAGGAGCTTAGGATCTGCAAGGTGACGGGTGAGAAGCTGAGGAAACAGCACGAAGGCCTCGACTGGGTCCGACGCAGCGGGGAAGGCCACCCCAGACCCCGTGCGCGCGGGTCTGCAGCCGGGCACCGCGGCCGTCTAGCCCGGGGAGCTGCGCCTGGCCGGAATGCGCGCCCCGGCCGCGCCTGCAAACGCCGGCCTCGCGCCCTTACCCAGCCAGAAGTGCAGGCGGTAGGCGAACCCGCGGCTGGCCCTCGCCGTGTGCAGCACCAGGTAGGCGTCCCCGACGAAGAAGTCGCCGTGCGCGCCCTCGGGCACCGGCACCAGCTGCAGCTTCTCGATCCTCCAGACCTGCAGCCCCGCCTGCCGGCCCGCGCGGGCGAACTCGGGGTGGAACAGCTCCTGAGCCATGCTCCGCGCAGCTGTGCGCACGGCCAGCGAAGGTGCCCGGCGGGACTCGGACCCGGGAGCCACTCGGAGCGCACAGGCTTTATGGGCTCCGGCTCCGGGAGGCGGGGCTGGGGGCGGGAGGGCCGGGCGGGGCCCCAGCCGAAGGGGTCGGTGGCTGGGGTGGGAACCTAGCGCAGAGCCCGCCCCACGCCCCCGCGGGCTGGAGAGCGGCGGCACGGAACCTGGGGCTCAACGCTGAAACGCCCTCGCCCGCAAAAGACCTTTCCTTCTTGGTTCCAGAGTACAGCCCGCGCCCGCGCCTGCTTATCCTGGGTCTCGGATGCGCCTGGTCTGCGGTGAAGAGAGGAAGCAGCACCAGCTCTGCAGCGGGGACTCGCGCTGTCGCCCCAGGAGCGAGCGCAGAACTGACCGATGCCTGTAGGAGCCCCTAGCTGCGCGAGCAAAGCCACTGTGCCTCTTTGGCATGCGGAAGTATTGCATGATGAGTCGTTGTCTTAAAATTCCCGATCATCACGGTCACCGGTTCACTGCTCAGGCTCGTGTCTCCCGGTGACCCGAAGTTCTTCTCCATCTTGAGTTTCTCGTTTTGAAAAGATAAAGGCGGACAGAAGGTGAGAAGCCTGGCGCGGTGGCTCATGCCAGCACACAATCCCAGCGCTTGCAAGGCTGAGGCAGGCGGGCGGATGGGATCACGCATCCCAGTCTGACCTGGGCAATTTAGGGAGACCCTACCTCAGAATAAAGCTTGTAGAGGATAGTGATGTACCTCAGTGCAAAGACCCCGAGTTCAATCCCCAGTTCTGAGAAAAACAAAAACAAAAAGAATGTTAAGTTTCTTGGAAAGGATAAACCCTGAAAAACTGGCCTGCCCCTGGGGACACAGCCCTGCAAATGCCCTGGAGTTCAGGAGCTGGGTTAGGTTCTACGCCACCTGCCTCCTTGCCAAGAAAGTTACGGGAATAACAGCAGCCACCCTCGTGGGAGAGCTCAGGCAGGGCTGTGTGCAGCTGAGGCCGTGTGTGTGCCCTGCCTTGTGAACTGCCCATTCCTGGCTTCAAGGCACCAATTTTCTCATTGCCCATCCTACGATTTCTGCTTTTGCAACGTAGGCAAAACACTGTAGAATACAGATGGAAGTTACTCTTTGTTTTGCATTCATGTAACAGAAATTGGTATAACAAAGGACTCTCCAGTCAGTGAAAACCTAAATCACAGAGAACATGATGCAAGCTGATTATGAGGCATGTATAATTTTTCACATTATGTTTCCCAGATTGTGAGTCCTTGAAAGGTCACTAATAATGTATAAAAATAGTTTTTCCTTAATTGTCTTTTAAAATAGGTCTTGTATGGGCATGTTAAAGGTACAATGTTACAAAATATGTGCAACAAAACTGTGTCTACATGTCCCACTGCCACCCAGGTCCCCTCCCTCAAGGCACCTAGGTTACCAGTTACTTTTTTTTTAATCTTTCATTTATTTATTTGGCACAAAGTCTCCCTGTGCAGCCTGGACTCATAGTGATACTCCTGTCTCAGCCTCCCTAGTGCTGGGGTTACAGGCGTGCACCACCACACCCAGCTTCAGAGCTGGCAAGGTGTACCAGGGTTCCTGGGCCAGCAGAGCATGTGGTACAGAGAATCAAACCTGGATCCTTGCCCTTGCCAGGCAGACACTTAAACCTCCAAGCTATCTCCCCTGCCTTACGTTACCAGTTCCTTGTGCATTTCTCCAAATAGTCTTTCGTCACGGAGTATAAGTAATATAGTGGCTTCTAAAACAGACATGTCAAGCTACACCCTGTTCTGAGTGTGCGTGTGTGTGTCTGTCTGTCTGTCTGTCTTGAGCACAGGAAGACTTATAAAACCTCCTGCAAATACCCCAAGGGAGAACTTCCTCAACCCACAAGAGAATGTGTATGCGCATCAATACACATCAGTTACAGAGCTGTGTCTTCTTACTGTGGACCTGGTAACCCATCTAATTGATGCATCATAATCCATTTAGTTGGTCCAAATTGGTAGCCATTTGAATTGCATCTGTGTTTTGCTAATACAGTGTTGCACGTATTTGAAACATAAGGTACTGTGCATGTGCCTCGTAGCTGTGAGGTAGATTCTCAGGGACATAATTGCCAGACGATTCAAATAAACAGCTTTGACGACAGTGATGATTGCCATGAAACCAATCACTGCCACTTGCTGAGCTTCTCCAGCTATTGGCCATGGCACAGAGCACCCACATTCAAGTGCTGCCTCTTCTCCCTGGTCTCAGGTTTCTGCCAGTCACTTAAGGATGGCAAGCAAAGTGGGACAGCAATCGTTTTTGTCTCCTAAAATTGGGATTTGTGGTTTGGTTACTGAGTCTACAGGAATCAAGCATTTGTGTCTGTCACATAGTAAATTATGTAAGAACTATTAGGAACTATTCCAACTTGGTGTAAGAGCCCTCTTGCTTCTCTAAATGCGTTTTCCAGCTGTCCCTTGAGACACACCTGCATGGCTGAAGCAGCTCAGCCCTGAGGTCCTCTAACTCGGGGTGTGCTTGGAGGCCAGACAGAAAGAGGACAGTGAGGTCAGAGTAGGCTTAGTCCATCTGCAGCTGCTCGGACAGGATACCACAGGCTGGGTAATTTAAAAGAAATTCCTTTGTTACAGTTCTGGAGGCTGGGAGGCCCAAGATGAAGGAGCCACGTCTGATAAGGGCCTTTCTGTTCCACATCCCATGGCAGGAGGAAGAAAGGCAAATGACGCCAGAGGATTAGAGCACTTAGGCCACTGAGCTCTCTCCCCAGCCCTAGGTTACCAGTTTCCTCTGCATTTCTCCAGATATTCTTTCCTCAAGGAGTATAAGTAATATAGTGGTTTCTAAAATAGACATATAAAGTTACACTGTTTTCTCTCTGTGTGAGTGTTGAGCTCAGAAAGATTTATAAAACCTTCTGCAAAGACCCCAAGGGAGAATTCCCTCACCCCACAAGAGAATGTGTATGTGCATCAATACACATCAGTTACAGAGCTGCCTCTTCTTACTGTGGACCTGGTAACCCAACTAATGGATGCACTATAATTCATTGAGTCAATCCAAATTGGTAGCCATTTGCATTGTATCTGTGTTTTGAGATCAAGCAAGAGATGGAACCTAGGCCCTTACCTGCTGCTCGCCACCCCCACCCCCGATATAATGGGCACTAATCCATTGGGAAGGGCAGCACCCTCATGCTGAATCATGTGATAGGTGAAAGGGCCACACCTTAACTCTGTTGCCCTGAGGATGAAGTTTCTCACAACTGCTGGGGGTACAGCGTCTTCAAATCTCAGAAGAATATTTATTTCCTTGGCTTCCTCTGCCAAAGAGCACAAATCCATATGGAAAAATAACTCTAGTCACTTTTTCTCTCATTTTGGAGGACAGTAATTTCCTCCTCTATGTATAGCATCTTTTAAAAACCTCTGGGCTTTTCCTATTTTGTGTGCACTCCTTGTAATAGGTTGAGAGCCTGACTGATAAGTTTCATGACCTACATTTTTCTCTAGTAACAAAACGTAGGTATGATAAACCTCATCTTTCTTCAGATGAGGAAACTGAAGCTGTGGCTTCTCCTCAAACCACCCAGCTGGGAAAGCACCCAGTGGGGAATTCAGACCCTCTTGCTTAATCCCAAGGCACTTACTGCTCTGTGCTTTCAATCCAAGTCAAGTTGCCAAACTTTCTACACTTAAGTATTCTTTAGAGCTTCATTTTGTTCCAGCTATGTCCTAAAGAAAGTTAAGATCTAACAATCCAGTGTGGCTCATGTAACACTGTGAAATGTGGTTTCAACATCACTGAGCTGAGATGTCTTATTTTCCTTATTGGTAAACTGAAAGCATTTATTCTCTTCCTCCCTCTATGGAAAAAAAAAAATAACTATATGAGAACTAGTATTCTGGATTTAAACTAAATGTTAACAGTGTTAATATGGAACAGTAGCAGAGGCTGAGGCAAAGCACTAATACTATCTTGACTTAAAATGTTCTATATTTGGTTCATCGTTTTTGCATTAATGTTGCTATTTTGTAAAGCTTTGCCTTAAGACACTGTTCACTTTGTGTGCTGGATTTCTTTTACCATCCCATTACACTTTGTGTCTGGAGCAAAGATTCACCCTCCTGACACTGCTCCCGTCCTGGAGAACTGAGTCCCAGATTCAAACTCCCAGCTTCCTTTTTTTTTTTTTTTTTTTGGTGTAACTGGGGATTGAACTCAGGCCCTTGTGCTTGCCAGGCAAGCACTTATTCTACTGAGCCATCTCCCCGGCCCCTCTCCCAGCTTCCTGCTACACATGGTGACATGGTCATCATGTCAGGCAGAACATTAGGCACCAGCAAGCTGGAGACAGGTGACTGGGAGCCACTTGCAAGCAAAGATGTGGCTTTTCTTTACTTTCTTATTTAGTTGCAGCTAAGATCCCCACAAACGTGTGGTTTCAAACTTTAGCTCAAGAGAATGTAACATATTCTTAGTATGCTGATAAGGACCCGGGCTCACCTCAAGGTCAGACCACTGGTGAGGGCTTAGGAAAACCTCAAGGTTTCAACACAAACTAAACAGACAGTCACTTAAGGAGTAAACATGGACCTACTGCTTTCTGCAGTAGATAAAGGTGGCTGGTTCAATTTGTACAAAAACGTGAATATAGTCAGGGATAACTACGGGGATAGAGAAAGAGCCTGAACCCTTTGTCTGGTCCCTTGCCTGCTGCCCATTGAAAACAAGATTTGTGTCCTTTTCTGGAATAGTCAGAAACTTAAAGGTCATTTTTGCTATGAAACCTAACTCTTCACTTGGGCTACACATGCCCAATAGGTAACTAAAAGCAAAAACGAATTTTATTTTCATGTTGTATCCTCCGTGGCTATAAAATTTGGGTCAAATCTCTTTTCAGCTCAACATACAGATACGTTCATCATTTAGGGAATATCTGTGTAAAAATTGGCAAGCCCAATTTACAGAATCTCCCCCACTTCAAAGTTGAAGACACCAGCATGGACAGTTTCCCCAGGACATCCAACAAGGCTTGGGAAGTCA